AGCGGCGGAAGTTAAAATTATTAAACCACATTTATGTTTGTTCTTTCATAATTTTTTGGTTCATTTCTTATAAATGGAGGACCTCGTCCACACAGAGATAGGTTTACGGAACTTAACTTTTGCGCAAAGTTCCGTGAAATTTCGCTAGTAGTACCTATTGACAGGGTTTTCGCAAAAGATGTATCCAACACGAGTAGGTAAACGCGTCTTTTGCACCCCTCCCCCTCCGGCACGTTCACTTGATAGTTTTTTTTTTTTTTTTGATGTTTCAAAACGAATGAGAAGGGGGCAGCAAAATACAGGCGGCCCATGGGCGGCAAGTAGGTAAATCCGGCCCTGATTACAATCAGATTTCATATATATAGCTTTCTTGTCTCCTTTTCTCCAGTTTCAGGAGCAATCATTTGCGCTAACGACTCCCCGCTTTGTCACCTCAAAAGCACAAATCTTCATTTGCGCTTTTAAAATTTTATCAATTTTGTATCGTATGTAATCGCAATATATTGCGACCCATGGTATTTGGGCTTGAATGCCGTGATTATTTTTTAATTTTTATTTATCATACATCACGACAGAAAAAAACCTATTTTTCTCATTTATCTTGGGCTACTTTAACTTCACGTAAAAGAGGTGAAGGGACCGTCTTTTTTGCTGGAACTGTAGAATAGATCTGTATGATAATTACGAGGTGGGGACTTATAGTGAAGGGGACCAAAATTATAGTTTTAAATAAATTAAAAAAAAAATTTCAAGCTAAACTTTGAGCTCCGAGCATGGACATACTCATTACTTAGCAGTGTGCTCATTTGTCGACATTCGCTAGCATGCAGCCAAGCCATCGCCAACTTACACACGCTCTAATTAATTGTGATTTTTTTTTACTTACATACGCTCGCTCTAATTAATTGAGCTTTCTATAAGTGTTGCTCCCGCTAAACATTGCAAGATCCTATTCAACAGTTTTCTCCAAAGAGGTTTATCTGAGGTGACGAGGTGAGTCAATCTGATATTACTTCCGGGATTTGAACCCGGGACCTAGCGGATGATCGTCCAAATCTGTGGCGATAACCAGCGGAACAATAACTGCACGACAGAACCCATTTTAGTCGGCCCATTTGAATGAAAAAAAAAATTGTAAACTATACTAAATCTCTGACCATCGACAACAGCGCAAAGTTGCCGTTAAAGCTATGCTTTTGTGAAAATATAACTGAATGTCTCATCGAGAATATTTCGACTAGAATCATTACACTCAGTACTGTTATTATAATCTTCTGATTACTTTTTTTTCTTTTTTTTAAATTTTTTTTTATCCCATTGACGTAAGAAAATCACCATTTCACTTGAAAGCGTTAGTTTTATGAAGAGGAATGTAACCGTGGAACCGGAAATCTCAATTTTTTGAAATTTTGGGTCATTAGAATTGATAACTATACACGAAAGAGGAAACGGAGACGACTTTGCTGGGAAACGCAACGTAAGCGCGTATAATAGACTGCTGAGAAAAGCCGATTTTCGACTGCATTTCCTGAAAAGCGTTTAACGAAGTAGGATGCTCGGAATGTCCGGAATTTCGCGAGAGCAATTGTGTTTTTGAAATCGCAAACGCAGACGAAACTCTTGACGTTACCCAAAATGCATCTCGTTTTAAACATTATTTGGTACCTGTCTTTTTTGGAGCGCGTCACTGACTTTTTTTTTTTTTTTTATTTGCACAAAACAACATAATCATTGTACAAGGGAGAGCTTTTAGATCTATACAATCTTTAAAAAGCAGTTTTTAACTCTAGCCTTAAATATTAGCTAGTAACTATTTTTAACAATAAAAATAAACCAACCTAGAGTAACAGGTGGAGAGTTATAGAGCCAATTTATTTCAAAATAATATTGGTTCATTATTTAAAAGAGTTTCGTCCGGCTATCCGTCTGAAACAAATTGTGTCTCCTTGTATGTCCAAGTAAAACGAGGGGCATTAGGAGGCATATAATTTAAACAGGTGGTATTTTATAGATTTTCTGTAGGTATTTATGTACAGATAACATGACTTCCATGAAATTTTTAGTTTGTGACTCTAACAATTTTTCGAGTCTGTCCATTCTCTTATCAGGCATCTCGAACTGGAGTTGATAATTCTTAATGATTTCACTCATTTCATTCATAATTGATTGCGAGTTATTAGAGGCTTTATTTGATTGAGTTGATTGCGCTTGGTCTTGACCACGAAGTATATCAGAATAAGACTTTTTTATTTTGTCTTGTTTCCCTGCATTTTGGATTAATTCCTCTTTTTTTGGAGGAGAGAATTTTCTTTTTTGGATTTCGGCTCTGACTTTGCAGCCTAAAAAGTTTGCGGGGTGTTGACCACCGCAGAGAGCACAATTTGGAGGTGGTGAACATGTGGAAATGCCCTCAATTGAGGGGGTTCTTAGCGTCACTGACTGAGAAAAAAAAAAGGGGAGACATGCGCTTTCAATTATGAAAGCAGATCTTCACTCACAGTTTGGTTCGCTGAGTCTGAAACATAGGCGGATCCCGCGGGAGCAAAGGGCCAGGGGGGGAGAGCCTCCAAAAATTTCAACACCAAACGCCACACAACAACATTTTTCCAACAACATTTCAACATCCAAACATTTCAAAGGGGGGGGGGGGCCCCC